GTCTCCACTGGCAATGCTTCCATTCCTAATTCTCTTTCTTGCTTCTGAGTTTCCACTGTAAGACTCTGCTTTTGACCAAAAGCAATGACTGTAGAGCTTAACCAACACCAGGGAGCATTTACTGTAATGTCTAGGTTAGCAACCTTTTAGAGGGGTCGTGAGCAGGTTTGTGATTGGAGAGCAGCCTGTGTTTGGAGATTTTTGTTCTGAGGTGAAGAAACATAGAAAAAAAATATTGAAGAAATTCGGCCAAAATCCATATTGCCAACCTCAAATGATTAGTTTCCATACCGAAAACAAAATAAAGATGAGGACAAGATAAAGCCTGGTTCCAGGCTGTTCCACTCCATGAATCACCCCAACCCAGTAACCAGGATATTTCCGTCCACAATACCTCAAAGCAGACTCAAATGGCAATGAAATAAACTGTACTTCCCCATTTTTAATGGCACCAAGTTCATTTGAGTTAAGCAGTGACCTCATACAGGAAGGGGGGAGCAACATTTAGCTGTATGTTACTATGGTGGACACATTTCAAACAGTGTATTTTGGACCTAGGGTGCATCTGGAACCCCCACAGATCCCACACATCAGTGTCAGGGCTGTAGTAAATCAACTGACAATATTCTCAAACTCTGCTCGAGGACAACTCATTACTGAAGCAAATTATTTCTGATGTTTAAAAATATTTCTAAGCAGATCCACTAATTAACTGCCCCAGTTCTCAGTCCCAATGAACGTAAACATTAACAGCTGGGATAATAGGATTAAGGGATGCTAAATTGATCATGGAACAAATCAGAGGAGAATCAAAATTTCAAAGGCAAAGTTGGCTCCTGGATTCTGAGCTTGGGGCATTTTTCTCTGCACCTGCCGGGAAATGGTCACAGACATCGGTCGGAGGCTGTGCGTGGGTACTGCTTGGTATTTGGGCTACAAGGCGGCCTTCTGGTTTCTCTGCTTGACATTTCTCCTTTGCTGAAAAGGGTAAATGACCCCAGCCTGGAAGGGAAAGACAGAACAAGAAATGTTGGTCACAAAGGGAAAAACCCAGTTTGCTGCATCCCCTTAGACCACGGCTCCTAGCTCCTCCAGGGCGACTGTGTCTGAATGAACTTGCCAGCTTTGGTCACGTCAAAGGACTTCGAGGGTTCGCTAACGCCAATGCCGCGTGCTCTTCGCATTTCTGAGCATGTGCTAGACAGGCGTTTGGGTGCTGAGGAAGTAGAGACCCACATAGCATTCCACCTGTGATCCAGTCTTGGAGGACACAGGAAGCCTGGCTGTGAGAGCCCAGACTGGATCTGAACGCTGTCACTGCTCAGCACATAGAGAACAGCCAGCCATTAGGACGACTGCCTCTTATCTCTCAGGGATCCGGGGCTGCTGCTCTGCCCGGTAGAAGCATTCTGTGGGCCAGGAATGCAAGCCATAGCTGCACTTTCAGTTTTTATCAGTTGCATCTTTAAATGCATTTTTAATGAAAAAATAATGTGTTTCAATTCTTCTAAAAAACCAATTCAAGATAGTGCCATTTTGACATATAATCAATAGGAATAAAATATTAGAGATTTTTTTATTTTTGACTTTTTCCCACTAAAGCTTTGAAATTTATCAGCATGTGACATAGTACAGTTTGGACTTAGTCACAATTCAGGCAGTCACCAACTGCACATGGCTAGTGGCTACCACACTGGATCAGCTAGCTTAACACATTACACAAACATGGAGCCTTAATAGGCAGCTCCTGCCATTTCAAAGTTTTGGAAGTCAGGCATCTAATACGGGTGTTCTCAGGGTGCCCTCTGTTTCCACAGGCTCCCAGAATCCATTTTCAACCTTGCTCGGGTTACCAATAGCAGCGTGCACTTGTTGGCTCGGGGCCTTACTCGGCCTTCACAGCAAGGATAGCACATCCCTCTCAGCCCCTTGCTCTGCACTCACACTTTCCAAAAGCCAGACCCGTCTCCCAAAGGAGATTCATGGAACTCTTGTAGATAGTTAAAGTTAATCTCCCCATCTCAGGGTCATGACATCTGGAGGCAGAACAATCGGGAGCTCAAAACCATTGTCATCTACAGAGTCAGCTGGAGGCCAACCTGGGCTATATAGAACTCTGTCTCAAGAGAAATAAATAAATGAAAGTGGGGTGTGGTAGTGCACCCCTTTAGTCCACAGTGCTCAGGATGCAGAGGCTGTGAGTTCGAGGCCAGCCTGATCTACAAAGCAAGTTCCAGGTTAGCCAGGGCTACACAGAGAAACCCTGTCTTGGGAAAAGGGATAAATAAATCAGTACTAAGTGAAGAAATAAATCTCTATTTACCATGTAAGGGAACAGATTCAAAGATTCCAGGGTTCTATATCGGGATGTATTAAGGGCAGGTATTATTTTGCCAACTAAAAGTAATGTTCTGTCTTGATTTATTTGAAGAATAAAAAGAGATGGCTGGTGAGCGGGCTCAGTGTGGGTAAAGATGTTTGTCACCAGATCTGATAACCTGAGTCCAATCCCCAGGTCCCACATGGGAGAAGAGAACAGTTACTGGAAATTGTCCTCTGACTTTCATGTGCATGTCATGGTAGCATGTCATGGTATGCAGGTCCACACACACATACACAAATAACAAAAATGTAGTAAAATGATAATAAAAACCCGTAAGAGAGAAAATCAAGAACTTGAAGTTGGGGAACCCTTGGGGCTACATGGATAGGTACTGCCTCAGTCTCTTCAGCTTGGCTAGGAAGAGCAGGACTCTCTCCTGTCTGCCACCACCAGCCACTTTCAGGAAGTTTAACTATATCCCAGTATACAATTTTTCCCTCCTGCATGCTACTGACCAGTCAAACAATATTTTAGTATGTTCTAGATCCCAGCATGAATCGATCCTATAACCCATTTACAAGCTCATAGCAAGACGAATTAGGACAGAAGGCGATAGTAAGGGGATCCTTTCGCTACGAGTTTATTTTGAATCCTTTATCATACCGGAAGCAGAGTGAGAGTGTGTCTATCATCTTTCAGGAAATAATGTCGCTGACTCAAAGAAATAGCCCAAGAGTCAAAATGAAGTGTATTTAAAACAATCTTTGTCAGAAAAAAAAATAAGATCAGTATTGTCCGGGTCAGAGAATAACTCATCCACTCACTTAAAAGTTATGAAGCGGTTATAGGTCTGTCCACCCACATGATGTTCCTCTCGGTGCTCGGTCATTGAGGAGCTAACTATCAAGAATGAGAACTGCCACCTGGGTTACGGCTCTGGCGCCTTCAGACGTGAAGTCAGAAAACCAAAACTTACTAGAAAAGGAACTTTAGGCCGTGAAGTCCAGTGTGCTCCCTTCAGAGAGGACGGGTGCTGGGGTGCGGCGTACCAGGTGCCCTGTGTCTGAGCTCACCTGACATCCGCAGGGTGGTTCTGACTTCCGCTCTGCCTTAGGCATGCCTGGCCCACACCAGGTGGTGGGGCTCAGGTCAGGCTCCTGCCCACAGGAGCCGCTCTGCCCTGAAATTGAAGCTGAACTTAGGTAGAGAGCCGTTTCCTTTTTAGTAACTTAAGAAGAAAACGCCCCAGTTCTGACTGGGGATGGAAACAGACCAGCAAGAAAAGACCTGAAAATACAGGCTAAATTAGGCCCCAGCCTGTTTGAAACAAGAAATACGGGAGACTAAGGAAGGCTTGGATCAGGCTCACCGGAGTAAGGAGGCTTTAGTGTGCTGTAAGCCATTGGCTGTGCTGCTGTACCACCCTGAGGCCCACAGCGGCACTGCAGCTTCGGCCTCCCAGTTAGCATCCAGACTTGGGCACAGTTTGTCCCATTCCAAAGGTTCCCTCTTATTGCCCCAAAACATATGTGCTTCTAAATTGGTCCCAAGTACTATCTTGAGTGACCCATGAAGGACAAGCTGCAGGGCATTTGTGGGAAGGTAGCGTGTCCCCACAGCAGCCATCCAGCCCTGTAGTTCTGTGACCAGTCCACCCTGGCTGGAGGCAGATGGGAACCGCTGTTGAGAGCAGACTGCCAAAATACCACTGTGGCTGGCTAGCCAGAGCTCCAACCTCTCAGTTAGACCCTGGCCTGTCAGCACTGCCTCTCAAGCCCCAGGATCACCGCGGTCAGGGTGCAGCTTTGCCTTCTGCCTTCCCAGCCAAGAAGAGCTTTCCTTCCCTGCCTCTAGCTGAAGGCCTGATCCGTCCTACCTGTGCTGGATACTTCTATGTCAACAAGACACAAGCCAAAGTCATCTGAGAGGAGGGAATCTCAATTTAAAAAAATATTTCCGAAAGACCAGGCTGAAGGCAAACCTGCAGGACATTTTCTTAAGTAGGGATTGATGTGGGAGGACTCAGCCCATGGTGGGTGGTGCCATCCCTGGGCTGGTGGTTCTGGGCCCTATAAGAAAGCAGGCTGAGCAAGCTACGGGGAACAAGCCAGTAAGCAGCACCCTCCGTGGCTTCTGAAGCAGCGCCTGCCTCCAAGCCCCTGCCCTGTTGGAGTTCCTGCTCCAACTTCCTTCAGTGATGAACAGTGATGTGAAAGTGTTAAGTCAAATAAACCCTTCACTCCCCAGGTTGCTTTTGGTAACAGTGTCTCATCACAGCCATGATAACCCTAACTAGGACACTCCCCAGTCCCTGCCACCTCTTCCTCCAGCCTCTTTATAGGACTGCGGCCTTTTGTTCCCTCAGGCCTCAGCTCTGGCCCCAGTTTGGAGTTCCAATCTCTAAATCAGGTAGATGCGAGAATCCAAAACGAGAACAGGACATGGGCATTGCAGACAGAAGAAACCTCTTCTCTGCCTGCGGCAGGGGAGCAGCAGCCTCTCCCAGCACCCACCCAATTTCAATGAGCTGCAGAGAAAACCCTGAAATGTGTGCTTTCATGAGGGAGCAATTCAGAAGGTACAGAGATAACGATTTTAGTGTTCTAATTTTAATAATTTTCAGTTGTAGTTAAACCTTCTTCCACTTTTCTTTTCACAAAAATTTCAGAAGCCATCTAAACACACCCATAAATTCTTTATACAGATCTTATTAAGAAAAATCTTTTACACTAACTTCCAGGTTTGTGCCATGTGTGTGATGCTTCACCTTGAGTTATGGGTCAGGATGACCTGGAGACCCCTAACACAACACAAGCAACTGTCATTGTTCTTGCTTGCCCGCCAGAACTTAATGGACAGACACTTTTGCTGAAACCACCATATACTCTGGTTGCAGAACAAACTGTTACTGAGCCAGAGGCTGTCTCCCTGCCCTTCTAGCTTAAATAGCATCGTAGGTGCTGTGCAGGCTGCTGGGGGAGAGACGTCATCAACAGTGGTCACAGCCAGCCAGCCTGACAAGACAACCCCTGGGTGCAATAGCGGTATGAACGTTATGGAGACAACCAATCACTTTCTGAGTGAGTTTACAGCCAGCTTCACAGGAGGAAATGTATGCCTGATACTGTAAATCTAACCAAGAATCCATGGTTGAGGAGCTCATAGGCCCCAGAGATAAACATAATAACTGTTATTTTCCTAAGTGGATAGTATCAAATTGCCCTCTGTACTGGCTAGCTTTATGTCAACTTGGCACTAGCTAGAGTTATCAGAGAGGAGGGAGCCTCGATTGATAAAATGCCTCTGTCCAGATACAAGGCATTTTCTTAACTAGTGATCAGTGGAAGAGGGTCCAGTCCATTGTGGGCAGTACCATCCCTGGGCTGGTGGTCCTGGGTTCTACAAAAAAGGGGGCTGAGTAAAGCATGGGGAGCAAGGCAGTAAACAGTACCCCGCCCTCCATGGCCTCTGCATTAGCTCCCACCTCTAGGTTCCTGCCCTGCTGGCGTTCCTGCCCCAGTGCTTTTGAGAATGAAGTATGATAGGGAACTGTAAGCAAAAGTTTCCTTTCCTCTCTAAGTTGCTTGTCGTGGTGTTTCATCACAGTAACAGAAACCTTAAGACTCCCTCCAAATGCACACCTCTGTGCCCACAGATTAGTGCCGCTCTTGGCCTCATCAGGAAAGCAGATTTAGTGTCTATGGAGCACTCAGTCCCAAATAGGTGTCACCTATTATAACACTCTCTATCCTCAAAACTCAGGGACCATAATAAGGAGGGGACATAGATTAATATAAATGGGTTAAGTTATAAGAGCTAGTTTGGAACAAGCCTAAGTTATAGGCTGAGCTTTTATAATTAATAAGAAATCTCTGTGTCATTTTTTGTGAGTTGGTGGTCCAAAAAGAAATCTTACAAGTCTATTGTCTTTGATTACATTTGAAAGGTAGGTAGGTTGTTTCTTTATATTCTTAAATTTTTAACAATTCTTTGACAATTTCATACATAAATACAAAGTGGATCTTTAACGTGCCCACTCCAACGCTACAATCATTGCCCCAGTCCCCAACACTGCCCCTTCCACCTTTATGTCCTCTTAATTTTTTTTCTGAGACAGGGTTTTAGCCTTAGAGATCAGGCTGGCCTCAAACTCACAGAGATCCGCCTGCCTCTGCTTCCCCAGTGCTGGAATTAAAGGTGTGCACCACCACTGCGTGGATTCTGTGTCTTAAAAGTGACAGCTACTTTATATTCTAACACCAGTTTGTGAGCTGGTTCTAATTCCATCACTTTCACTAATGGTTTTACAATTCTTTTTCCTAAAAACTAAACTTTCTCATTTTTCATTTTTATTTTATGAACTTTAGAACCTTTAGAAATAACTAGAAGTCTAAGATGGATCTGGGCTCCTCAAGACCGTTTTTTGTTTTTTTTTTTCACTTTGACAGACATGGAGACTTAACAGAAATATGCTAAAACGGCTCCTGGCTCTGGATATTTTAAACCACCCACTTAGCTTCAGTTGAGGCTGCGGACTCACATGGGCTCATAAACTCTGGGATAGTTCCCTGCCTTTATTCACGGTAAAGACTAAACAGAAGCTTGTCAAATTTTTTTTTCCCTGTCTGCCCCTAACTTTACCCTTCTGTACATAGTCTTCTAAACTTAAGATGTTTGGGCCACTAAGATCTTGCTATGTAGCCTAGGCTGGCCTGGAACTCACAAATGACTCAGGGGCTAAGGCAAGAAAACATCTAGTGAAAAGATCAGCCTGGATGACCCCAGGCAGTTCCTGTCTCAGAACAAAATACCTCCATGTACAGGCCCCAAGAAACGGGAGCAAGACACAGAGAGTATGACCTTCCAGCAGCAACAGGAACTTGCTCTGGGACAAGAGGCAATCGCCGTTCATCTCCTACTGGATTATTATTGTATTGTTGCCCCTGAGCATTCAAATGAAGAAGCTGATAATTCAAAGCATATTTAAATGCAACATCTGCTTTAGCGTTAGTACTTACTTTCAAAAGATCTTCTATCAAGCCAGACATATCAGCAGAGCTCTGGAAACAGTGCAGCAAGTTGGCTCAGTGGGCACAACCACCTGCTGCCAAGTCTGATGACCCGAGTTTGATTCCTGGAACCTACAAGGTAGGACAGAACCAGCTCCCACACATTGTCCTTTGATTTCAACATAAATACTGTGGCATGTGAGACTCCACCAAAAAAAAAAAAATTAAAGTTCAATCTCAATCACATACTGTAAAAGAAGAAATCCATTATGGTATTTATTTAAAATGGATGGGGGTAGTGCATAGAGAACAGCTAAAGTTAAACTTAGGGCTTAAGTCTCTCCTCAGTTTTATTTTTAATTACCATTTTATTAGTGCTAGTTAAAAAGTGTGTGAGTGTGCACACAGTTGTGTATTTGAACAATCATGTGGATCAGGTCTCTTCTCCACCTTTACATGGGTCCTGGGGACTAAAGTCGAGTCCTCAGGCTTTGCTCCTTAGCATTCTACCCGCTGAGTCATCTCACTGGCCCGAGTCCCCTCTCAAACGTGTCACTCATCTCAGTCTGCATACTTTCATCCTTGGCCTAGAGAACAAGAGTAAAATAAGTGTGACAACTGCAAATCTACAAAGACTGAGAAAACATATCTCCTCTTCATTGCTTTGCACAATGTTGTAAGCAGCTTTTAGACTGCTTGTCCCTCTCATTCTTTCTATAGCACAAGACATCATGTAGGGCTCAGCCCTGCATACACAAACTCTCTGTACTTATCTCTGTACACACAAACTCTCTGTACTCATCCCTGCATACACGAGCTCTCCATACTCATCCCTGCATACACAAGCTCTCTGTACTCATCTCTGCACACACAAGCTCTCTGTATTCATCCCTGCACACACGAGCTCTGTACTCATCCCTGCATACATGAGCTCTCTGTACTCATCCCTGCATAC